TTGCAATACTGTGAAAATTGACGAACCACATGGTCTAATCTCTCTAAAGGTAGCTTACACATACGTGCATAATTCAAAACAAGTATAAGTCCAACTGTGCAACTTGTTACGCTGTAGTAATACAAATACCGCGGATAATGCGTTTTAATAAGAGATATTGTAAGAATATTTCAGTTATTATTTTAATTTTACGAAAGTTATTTTGGAATGTTTTTTTAAAACTAATTTTTTTAAACTCAACCGATAACAGAAGTAAAATTCTGCCAAAAAGAAAAAAAAAATTTTCCATTGTAATGCAGTGCATTACAAGGCTTTGCCTGAGAGTGTTGCACTATTTGCAATCCCTCAGAGAAGCTATGCCCGTTCCTTGCCGTCCCGTAACCAACCGAATAATTATACCCGACTCGCACTCTAACCGATACACTGTTTTATTTCCATTTTCGCCCACCCACATCCGGGAAAATGATGCAACAAGTCAGAGAACGCGATCCGACGTATGAACGAAAAATGGAGCGCACGACAAGAAAAAGAGAACGCACGCACACATACACATTTCCGACCAATGTGTTGCCGGCTGGAGGAAAAACACGGGAAACTTGACTGGAAAATGCTACGGAAATGCATGTTAGAGAAATCTATGAATACGTTACACACCCAGGCACTAACACAGACTCTTTGAAGAAGCTGACACACTTGGGGAACCAAAAATCGGTGATGAAGCGGCAGCCGGCAATCAGCTGTGTCAGGCTGCTGAGCACCATCGGTGAAATCTTGAGCGCCACACACACACTGCTGCTGACCACAGGTAACACCCAGAGATACACACACACACAACACCCGAATAAACACGTACACCACACGACTGAGGGAAAATGCTCCAGGAGGCGTTCCGGAGACCAGTAGCAGAGCACGAGACTTACACGCCGGAGCGAGGGCGGCCATTTTGAAGCGCCGAGATAGACTAAGCAGAAGCAAGCGAGATAAACTACACGTGAGCGAACGAGATAGACTAAGCGGAAGCGTGTGAGACAGACTAGACGAGATCGAGCGAGACAGACTAAACAAGAGTGAGCTAGACAGAATAAACAAGAGCAAGCGAGACAGACCATATGAAAGCGAGCGAACTAGAATAAATACAATACTAATTCGAACGCAAACTTGATGATGAGGACGCTACGAATATGGAACCGAGTTACAACTATTGTATTATATTGCAAAATATCTAGCGATGCGATTTAAAATGTGAAACGTACTAATAAAAAAATTAGAAATACTTCTATGCGGCCGCTGCAATCCCCTAAGCGTATTAATAAGTGACAATTAATCTGACGAAACTTCTGGTTACGTCACGACTAATAAGCGAATTAAAATAAAATTGATTTCCGTCCACATAGAAAAATAAATAGGAGTAGAGGTAGATCTTTCTTATTAATCAATCCTGACCGACTTAGTGGGGAGGGGGGATGAGAGAGGGTAAATAGCAACGAAGTAGAAGATAAAATGAGGGCGCTGTTACTTTTCTAATTTGCATATTGACCAATGACGAAATATTCGGAGGACGCTACCGATATCCGAATTCGCATATTGGCTAATAAAATGATTTCTTTTCGAAAAGACAAGAAGTAAAAGGATCTTTAACCGCGAAGAGCCGTTTCTCGTCCATTTTGCCGCTGATCGCTAACGCTGATAGAAGTACTCCCGAGAATTAGCTGAGATCATCAAAGGACTTTGTGTTTCGCCGAGTGAGTCTACAGCTGTAATCTGTAAGTAGGCAACATGCGACTCAGTAGCGATAGGTGCGAGTGATTTTGAGTGCCAATAATCCCGTCATGACGTGTGGATCCATCGACGCCGGGAATAGAGTGCACCGACCGAGTCGCGTGACCAATTGCCATTTCTCAAACTAGCTTGAGTGTAAGAAGTGTAGGGGATGATTTAGATATCTAGGTGAAGTTTGAATCGCCGTCACGAATTGGGGATGGAGCGTATAGTTCGTCACATGTTTGATTCACTGGGACGCGTGGATCCGTTTCCACAACGTATTAAATCACGTCGAGTCGCGCTGACCATCTACCATTCTAACCGAATCTGTACCCTAGCCACCGAATAAAGAAAAATGAAGTGTAATCGATCTCTATTATTTACGTATCTTTTCATGCTAAATTTATTTTCAGCCGCGGACGGTCTGTAGCGAGGATTCTTTTTCTTTTTATTCCTAGTTTCGAGAGTTAGATGATCTACGCGCTAGATCCAACAAATCTCCGAGCAAAGACGAGGAGACGTATCCTGAGCTTCCACTGTGCCGTATGCCGGCACTTCCAGGACACGAGAGGACGGATAAGATCAACGATTGGTTGGAATCATTGGCCTGAGAAAAGGATATCGACGTGAGGTTCACCAACCTGCCCACTCTGCGCTGTCGCACAGTGGGCAGATAAAACCTGCTGCGATTTTCCGACCCTATGCCCGACGATCGACGTAAATGAGGAATGGCGGTCTGGCACCCTTATTATTAGTCAAGGAAAACGGTTAAATCAGGCCTTGTGGTGGAAGTACTTTGAGTGCGCGGTTGATACCCCCTGAAATTCCCTACCACGCCATTTTTAAACAGATTACACAACATTTAGCATTTTAGTTTGACATTATAAAAAATCTTACTCTTTTGATTTTTTTCAAAACTCTGATCAATGGTCCAGTATAACCGTTCAGTAGATCGGTCTGGAAATTAACAGGGCCATTAAAATATATTTGAGTGTAAAAATTTATAAAAACCTTAAGCTTTCTATCATTATCAGTAAAGATATAGTTGATTTTCAAGGGAAAAAGTTACTATTTTTGTTTTATTAAATTCAATATTAAAGGTAAAAAAGCATCTTTTTTCAAAAACAAATCTCAAAAGAATTTTGTAGTAAATCTATTTAAATTTCATATTCGCTGTAAGACAATTGTTTGCTGATATATCGATGTTGAAACAGAAAGGATTTTTTTTTCATTCTAAGTCCGATATTTCGGTGAAAATAGTGATATCAAAGTTTTAAAAAGACGATATTAAAGCTTAATAAACAGCCTTTCTATCAATGTAGTGATCTATCTCCAAAAAGTTTTATCAAGTTCATGGAGATGAATCAAAATATCAAAAATTTATCAAATTTTTTTTCGCGCTATTTTTAAGAATTACGTAAAAAATGAAGCACCTAAAAGTTTTTCACCAAAGTATCAAAAAATAGAATATTGAAGCCACATAATCCTTTTTTTTTAATTTTCTATACGACCATTTTTAAGTGAAATACAGACTATCAAATATCAAAAAATTTTGAAAATTTTTTTGTTTCCTTGATTTTTGTGATTAGTTTATATTTCTGATATGTATTTTTCGAATTTAGAACAATTACTTTCATCGTTATCGGCTATAAAGTGAAATATATTGAAGTTATACTCTTTATAATGTTGTTCAGTAATCTAGAAACGGAATTAAACGAAAAATTTCTTCACCATACGTATATCGTATGTAGTAAAAACTGTTTTTAAATTCACAACACCCACTATATAGTACAAACTATCTTAATGACAAGGCTCATGAAGGAACGACTATATTAATCAGAAACACTGTGAATTATCATGAAATTGAGGCATACGAATACGACTACTTCCAAGTAATATATGTTATGATCAGAGATAATAATAGAAAATTTATATCATTAGTATTATACTGTCCTTCAAAACACACAGGGACTTGGATAAAATACTTTGATACATTGGGAAATTGTTTCCACGCAGCAAGAGATTATAATGTGATATAATAATAAGACATTAGATAATAAGTCATCCATGATGAGGATCAAGATCACTAACTCCAAATCTAAAAGGAGTAACTCCATATGCAGTAACGAAGAAAAACTCAATACCAATATCAAAAGGCAAACCTGCCTACTGGGTCTTCGATATAAATAAGTCACTAGACTCAATAAATTGCGCAATCATTAAAGGCTTATATCCTAAATACCTAATAACCAAATTATGCCTTGATTCTATATCAGATCATTTCCCAATATTTTTAAATTATGATTAATTTTAATTCATCAGTTAAAGCAAAGTAAAAAAATAACTCTTTGTATAATGACCAGAACAAATTAGGAACTTTAAAGAGGAACAATAAATGATAAACTTTCATGTAATATACCATTAAAAACAAAACAAGATATCGATACAGCGATTGAAAACTTAAGTAAGAACATTTATAAAGCCATTAAAAATGCAAATCTTATGTGCTCAATAAATAAAAACGGAAATTTAACTGTTTCCAAAACAGTATCAGACAAAATCAAAGGAAAAAGAAAGCTAAGGAAAATATAACAGCCGACCAGATTACAAACTGATAAAATATAATCGGTCTATTAAAGAAATTAAAAAAATTTTTTATGATGAAAAAAATGAAAATAGAAATAACTACCTAACTAACCTAACAGCAACTGAGGCTACTGATTATTCGTTCTGAAATGCAACTAATGAAATAAACCAACCATAAAAATGTTCTTCTCCTATCTTATGTCATTGTGTTTCAACTTGTAACTGGTCCTCCTCTTGACGTTAGCTTCGCGCACGATTAATATACACGTGCCGTATATTCTTCACTTATGTGGCGTTCGTGCCTTCCGAATTATCTCTTTACTTAATTAACTTATGTGAGTGGCTGCTGGTATAATTTTTCCGATTTGTAGGTCATTTTTCCGTTTCAACTAAATAATTTTTTCTTTATATTGTATATAGTTTTGCATAAAGAATTAATTAATGGAAATAATTATTTTATTCATCATAAAAATTATTAGGAATTTGCTAAGTTTACGTATGTTAGCCAGAGCTGCTCGGGTAAATTTATCTGAACTATAGAGCTCAGGCTAATGATATATTTTTCAGTAAAATAATGTTCTCTATATATAATAAATTCTAATAATATTATAATATTATAAAGCCGTTTTCATATTCTGATATGTTTATTTTACCCAATCAACCAAAACTTCTGCGAATAATAGTAATATGCAATCTGGTAGCAGAATCGCCAAACGATCAGCACGCCATGCATATTCTTTCATTGTCTGCAAAGTGACAGCCAAAAGTAACATTGCTAAATGAAAACGTTCTCTTACATCACTGCATGATAATTGAAAAAGGTTGTTTTTGTCAAATTTCTTAAAGACGGAGCCCTTCAATTCTACAAACTGTTAAAATTACAAACTGTTAAAAACAGTTAATTATTTATATGTACATAAACCATTGAATATTACGTGAAACCTAGATTACTTACGTTATTTGACATCATTATAGTTAGGAGTGCTTTGTTGCTACTATTAATTGCAACGTTTAATGTAGTTGCTTGAAAAAGCACTAAAATACTATGCAATACTTATATATATTTAAAGAAAATATTCAACTATAAGTAGCTTATACAAAAGGTAAAATAATAAAGGATACGGACATATACAACTGCAAAAAACAAATGCGGTAATGTTCCTAGGTGTTGAGAGTGCATTGAACGGATTTTAGATCTTGGCTCTGTCGCAGTCCAGAGTAATGCATCGATAGTGTCTTGTCCAAAAGCGCTAAAAAGTCGATCACCAACTTCCAACATATTATAAAAAATATAAAGTTTGATAACTGACTGACTTTTAACTAAATGGTACATCATTGAAGTATCAACTTTCCAAGTTATAATCCAGCAACTGAAAACTACAATTCCTTTTAACAAATCACATATTTCTGCTGAAGTTAAATATTCTTTTTTTTGTTTGCAACACTGCTTTTTTCTAAAATTTTAAAGATTAAAAAATTGAATTATTATTATGCTACAATTAAAACTAAATTCTTTTTTAAGACAATAGTTACCCTATAAATTGTTTCACACGCCTGATAATAATAGCCCACACAGCCATTATAAATCTTAATGGTAAAAATGTATAAACGTATAAAAACGAGTCAGCACACTGAAAAAAAATTCATTAATGTACAATTAAAATTATATTATGAACAAAAATTATTTGACAGATCAACAATAATATAAAAAGTATGTAAATGAAATAACACGTATAAATTTTATGTAGTATATAAATATGTGATAAAAGTCCTACCAAAGAACGAAAAAAAAATAAGCTTCGCTCAATAAATCAAAAATATTATAATTAGTACTGTAAGTACTCGTATACTTAAATGGAAACATTACTAATCTGATGAAACTCAAAATATAAAATGTAGTTCTTGTTACAAATATAATATACATTTAACAGTAAATTATTTATACTCAGAAAATCTAAAATTACTAGTAATGGAAGAAAAATTATGTAATATATGCAAATAAATGATGCGAGGGAATAAAGATGTAAGTTTTGTAACGGAAAAACGAGCTCTTGCACCATTAAGCATTTTCTTTCTCGTCATTTACATGCTACCATCAAATCAAGAATATATTTTTTTTCCTTGTGATAGGTGACAACTCGCGCGAGGCGAGTTTGTCCCGTACGAAGGCCTTTTTAACAGCCGAGCGGCCTTAGACTCGGGCGGTAGTCAGGCTTTCGGGCACCCCGGCCCGTTCGCGCGTCAATAATGAAATCCCTGTTAATTATAATTCGACGCTCGATATCGTTTTTGTAAAATAAATAATTGAACGTTTATAACGTTTTTCGCTTGTTTATTAAAAGGAAAAATGTAATAGCGATTTTCTTTAATATAATGGGGAAGCATATGGATACACTTATAGGCGTTTATAATTATAATATTTATTCTAGTCTCTTTCACAACATAAATAAGTTAAGCAGAATAGAAAGATATATATATAAATTCTCAGACGCGTAATTTTCGCCTCGCGATGTCTATTATTTTTTTGGTTACATAAAAAGTATTACTCACTTTGTATTAATATTGTAAATATAAATTGGTCCAAAATATTATTTGCTTCGTGATGTGCCCAATCACTTTTTCTTTGAATCTGATCAGATCAACTGGTCCAATATATTTTTATCCAATAGTGTAGCAACACGCAAGAAAATGATAATTCGTATAATTTTCGTCGTCCAATATATTTTTTATCCAATAGTGTAGTAACACACAAGAAAATGATAATTCCTATCATTTTATGATTATTAAAACAATTGTACTCGACACTTCTAATACTCAATCGCAACTCGAACAATTATATTCTCAATCTCTTTATGGATTTAACTTCAGTAGGAAAAAGGCAGGCTTCTTAGTTGAGCGCTCACTCCTAACTGACTAATTCTCTAGCGTTGTTTTCGCCGGTTTATTATATAGCCTTTGTCCCTTGTATCCGTCTCTCTCTCGCGCATATGCTTTAGACGTTTACGCTCCTCGTATCGGGTCGTCTTACCTAGCTAAGCACGCTGACTGCAGCATGCTGTCGCAGCATGCTAGCGCAGCGTGAATCAGCCTCTGCCGCTCATTCCCACCGAGTCGCGCACACGAATACTGCTAGCTATACTATGTCCGAGCGGAAATCTCAAGAGCAAAATATTATTCGATAAAATATAATTATAACGTAATAAGATGTCACGTAACATCCCTCCAACTAGGATAGCACAAGAATAAGATAATAATATGCACAATAATGATAAATAATAGTAAAATAATATAGATGGTCCTCTTTATTCATATACAAACAGAATGATTAATGGAAGGAGGCAAAAGCTCTAATTCGGTCCAATTGTTACTTGCATAGCGCAAGTTGATGGTTATCGTTTCTGGGTGTTAAATCTAGTCCCTCTAAATCTCGTAGACAGGAAGCTTGATCCTGAAGTAACAAATCTCGGTCCTTTGGGTTGGCTGAGAGAGTTTGCAAGAACAGGGTCAGCTTGTTTATATTGTCAAAGGGGGACCCGTTGTAATCGTAGGTCCCTAAATTACAGTCTTGTAAATGTTGGTCCCAATCGGAAAGGTGCACTGCTCTTCCACAGAACCAATGCGTTCTCAGCACATTCCTGTTTTGGTACTGGCAAATGGTCCTATGTGCTTCTAATTCCGTCTTAGTGACGTAGTGTCTGCAGGCACCATGGTAAACATACATGGACCTGTTCTGAAGTTTGGCTCTGAGATTTTGAGGTGGCGAATGTTTCGCCTTATAACGCTTATTCAACTTGCTTAATGCTGAAGTGACACTCCAACTAAATATGTATTTTATTATTCCCATAGGTCCACAAGAGCCTTGCCATATTTTAATATAGTCTACTGGTCCAAATTGCGTGAAGTCCTCATGGACCCGTTGTTCTGGCCATGGTTTATTCTGTTCATCTCGGTGCGGTATGAGGAAGTGTAGTCGTCGATCGGCGTCATCTTCCCTCGCATAGCCTGGTGTGGTCGATCGTGGCGTGAACCTAATTGGGTTCGTTGCTTCCTCATCTTCATCTTCAGAAGAGTGCTCATGTGAAATGTGAGGTGACCATTCTCCTGCGGCACATGGGAAGAATCGTAATACTGCCGCAATGTAATCATCCTCATGAAGAAATTCAATAATAATTTCTCCATAATGTGAGGAGGATAGGTAAAATATGGTCCGGTTAGTTGCGTGATCGAGAGAAAAGAAAAGTACATAGATTCAAGACTAGACATAGACAAGAGTAAAGAAATAGGTCACAGATTAAAAGTTATGGATCCACTAAATGACATAATAATAATACAATTGAAAGGATTAATAAATTTTTCCTATGACTTATAATTTATACAGCTGTTTCGAAGTATCTTTTATCTTCAGGGTCGATTCCTGTTGTCACGTCTTCTTCCGTTAGGTCAATTCGTCGGGCTTTTCGTAAGGTTGCCCGTGGATTAGGAGTAGGGTCCATTAATTTAATTTCCGCGAGCGTACCTAGATCTGTAGAGGGTCCATATTTGTCTAATCCTATGTTAGGTCGGCTTGTTTTGGTAGAATTCACCTTATATATTTTTTTCACTTCTGATTTAGGGTATCGTTTTTTTATTTTTCCTTCCCTGAGTTTATTTTAGTGCTGCCATTTGCAAATAGTATCGTGTTCCTCATAGATTGATGCGTCTATCCATTTGTTGCAAAGCCAGTGGTGCCTAGTTTCATCACTGTGGTCCCATCTCCTTTTCCTTATATCAGCTTATCTAGCGCCGTAAATAGGGTTGCATTCTTTTAAGGCTGTTGCTGCATCAGCAGCTTTGTAATACTGAGCGTAGCCTATAGCAAGGGCTCCCTTGTTATCTCGTACCACTTTATGATACACTAAGGGTCCGAATTGTACGAAGTGTTGGAAAAACGAGATTTCCCTATAACTCTCTTCAATTGTCCAGGGGAGTCGACAAAATAGTCGGGTTTTCTCTGTGGGCCTAGAGTTGTTTGTTCGTGACGGTTTTGGTTTTCTAATGCGGGCACGACTTATCTCGCTTATGTTCCAGTTTTTTATTTTTCTTGCTTCAACTGCATATTTAATTCTAGTAAATTTGCAGAGAATAATTCTTGTACTGTTGTTCGTGAGATTTTGTAATGAATGAAACTCCTGTATGGGTCCGATACTCTCTAATCGTGTCAGGAGTTCGCTCAGCGGCTTATGCTTTAAGTACCGTACTTTTAGGAACAATCCAGAGCGGCGAGTTTTAAGGTGAATTTGATTCTTCGATTATTCCTTCCCTTAATCGTTTTTTAATTTGGTCCGATATAAATTTTCGGAGTACAGGGGGATGCCTATACTGTTTGGTATTAACCGGTATTCTATTCTCTAAGTGTATTTCATGTTCTATTAAATTAGTACACGGTAAAGGTTCTCCAGGAAGTAGATACACATTCGGATATTTCTTCAATAAGCGTTTAATACTCTTGAGTTCATGCGGGTTAAGGTGTCCTGTTCTAATCAGTTGCAATAATTGCCTATATCGGTTCTCGGGTTGATCCATAGTCTGTGGTCCTTGAAGGCTACCTTTTCGATCCGCATTCGTGTCACTAGAGAATTCCGATTTGTAATATTCAAATGGGATAATTTTCTTCGGGTCCACTTCTATTGTTACTTCCCTCTCATGGGTATTGATGGCCATAATCGTACAGGTCTCATGATCGTTAATGACTATGCCTTCCCCAAGAAACACTTTATCATCCGCCACATTTATTCTAGGTAAATACCCTTCTGCGAGCGTACTCTTCAGCAAATTAATCTGTATAACTTGACGAGTCCTTGGTGCTAATGTATATCGTACCGTGCCAACCAGCAGTCCCTCTTCGCTATTCGTAATCTTATTATTCACGTTTTCCTTACAACCCAGTTGTTCTATTCCTCGATCTAGGTCCGCTGCAGTTTCAATATCCGATACTTCATCTTCACGAGCTCTAATACTCATAGCTTGTATCAGATCATCTTGTAATCGGTCAATGGGAACATCATTCGGTAAAAACGATATCGGGTTCATTACGTCGCTATTTACCATTAGGCTGTTATGATAATACGAAATCACTGCATCCGTATCGATCAAGTAATCTCTGCCTAACATCCCGTCCTCTTCAATAGGAAAATTGTTCCATACTATGTGGAATTTCGCGGATTTTCCATTAATAGTTAATATTGCCGTACCTATGGTCGGAACAGCGTGTGCCGTAATACCACTCAGGGTAGTAATTTCCCTCGTGGTCCAGTTCAGCGCGCTAAACTCAATTAATATCACGGCTGATCCATTATCAACCATGAACACGGTCCACTTTTTACAGGTTTCCAATATTCGAAACCTTACTCTTGTCGGCGCATAGATCTCATTATTTCCTGCGCTAAGTCCCCAATTTGAGGCAACGGCGATAACTGGTCCATTAACGATTGTGGATTCTTTAGTATTGTCATTACTTTTGCTGGAGGTACTCCCGGTTTTTCGGACGTCGATACTTCCTGAATTTCGGTCAACATCGTCTTCGCATTCGGTTGAACTTTCTCATGGTAAAAGTTCAAAAAACACGATTTTTCACTATATTTCGCGTAGTATT